GACAGGAAGGCCTGGCGCAATATGGTTCATGGGGTCACGAAGAGTCGGACACGACTTAACGACTAAACAACAACACAAACACGCACATATAGGAGTGCTGTCATTCATTTTCAAATCCAGAAAAGTGAATAATGATGGATGTTCTGTCTGCTAAAATTGTAGTTCTCTAAATCCATATATATATTGTCACTTTGATTTGGTCAAAGCTTATCTCTGGCACATGATAAACATTCTAATCCTGAAGCATCTTTTATCAGCCCCAAACCTCGGCATTTATTAGTATTATTCTGGTAGTTAAATTTCAAACATATTTGAAAGGTGCCAGTTTGACAAGGCTGTCCTAAAGTTATCCAAGATATATTTCTGGCCCTCCATATCCAAAACAAACAAATGAACACCCACAAACAGTCCTCTTTCCTTATCCTACCCGTTTGAGGCGATCATATTAAATATTTCTCAGTTAGCACATTGGGCAGGATGAATGAATGTGCAGAAAGGGAGACATAATAATTGGTGATGCAGGACTGAAATCAAACTCTCTTTGGCGGGATCAGTGCCCCAGGCATTCCTGACCCCATCCATCTGACACAGCTTCACAGATAAGCCTGAACATTCAGCAGCCTCCATTTTCTCATATCAGATATTAAGTTCCTGTTTTGTTATTTTTTATAAAGTTTTACAGCTCTGTTGGTAATTTACCTTGAGTAGTTTGTGGGGGAGGTGGAGCAACAGGATTGAAATGAACGATTATTCATCCCACTGCACTTTAAATCAATTCACTATTTGTGACCAATGGGACACATGGTGAAAGTCACACACTTGGATGATGAGAAACGTGAAGTTTGTAACATGAAATCTGACTCCTTCAGAGGAAAAGCAAGAATAAATCATAACTACGATATTGAAAAAATAGATGACATAATGACTAAACATTGTGCTAAAACTGTCTAGTAGAGACTTAAAAGATAGATTCACACAACATTGCTAAGTTTGGACAATTTTAAACTAAGGTGGTTTGGGTTGTGTGTTTAACAGGTGTGAATTCCCATCTGACTTATGTCTGGTTCAATGTATTGTATGAATTCAGAAAATAGGTTAAGTCAGTAACCAGGTTGTGTCAGTCCAATTGTTAAATCCAGACTTAGACTAACCCAAGGTTCACCACACTGGTCCTCTTCAGATATATCATGCAACATATTCAGGGACCACCAAGTTGGGGAAGTTTGAATATCAACGTGGTCTTTTTTTTTTCTTTTTGGTCCATCTGAGTTCAAGAGATCTGCACCAAGTTTCATTGTAACTGAATCCAGCATACTCTTAAAGGTGTTTAATGGCATGCCAATGAAAATCTGCAATCATTAATGATTTCAAGTTTAATCATTGATATTTTACTTTAAAAAAAAAGGTGTTGCTGAATGACAATTTGTTATTCATTTTCAAATAACTTTATTATCAGAACTTCCTCATGAAAGAGGGATTTTCCAAGTTCTTGCATACATTCTGTGAGACTGTGAGTAGATAAAGTAGTCTGGTTCTCACAAGACCATGTCTACACCAAAGACAGAGAGTCACTCTTTGATTTTTATCTCAGTCATGAGCTTCTTCTGAAACAGGGTGGGTCTGAAACTGACTGAACAAAGCCCTCACTTGATTCATATCTAACTTTAGCTTCTTCACCTCAGCCAAATATTTTAAAGTAATCTTAATATGAGGCCAGTTGTGTTTCTCTTTCTTATCTTATGGACTAATTTTGCACAGGATTCTAGACTAGGCTAAAAGATGGTAGGATCATTTATGATTCAGCATATGGCGAGGATTCAGCTCTTGTAAGCAGGTTGGGGAATCAGGCTATCATGTCAAGGCATTATATGTATTTGCTATATAAATCATGATCTAGTGAAAAAAACATGGGGTAAAATTGGAGTTGTAAATAACTAAAGGGGAAAGGGTTCTATTCTCTTTCTCAGAAAGATAAGGAAGAAGAGGAAGAAAAAGAAGAGGGGAAGTTAGTATCTCTGATAACTGGATGTGGCTGAGTTCTGAAAGAGATAAAAATTTGGTAGTTTGAGGTCTGAAGATTGTTCACACTGAGAGAGGAGAAGGAGAAGGAGAAGGAGAAGGAGAAGGAGAAGGAGAAGGAGAAGGAGAAGGAGAAGGAGAAGGAGAAGGAGAATCCCCAAATGGGTCCATATTTCCCTATGTAACCTGGGAGCCTGCTTTTCAAAGTCCCAGGGCAAGTGGATGACAGGACAGCTGAATGCATGACAGTATGGCAGAGTAGGTACAGGTTGGCCCCATTCTTTCCTCAGTTGAAGTCCACTGTGTTCAGGCAAATGATGAAATGGCTAAAACCCCTCCATGTATATACAGTTTCATTCGTTAGTAATCAAGGTCCGAGCCATGAAAGGCTTTATGCAATAAAGCATATAGCACCTTAAATAAGCTGAGAGATCAGCTACAACCAGTGCAGCTGTTTCAGTGCAGGGTGGGCCACCAATTATCACCTTTGATGCTGCGTTCCAGCTCAGTTATAACTTTCAGGCCATCTTCAAGAGCTGCCCCATAAAAAGTATAGTTGCAGCAGTCTGATCCTAGGGTTTCCAGTGCACCAGATCTATCTCCAATAGGAAATGGATGCAACCTTATCAGCTGAAAGTGATTAAAGCCAGTGACATAGTGTGCCATCCAGCAATGATGTCATTGCATTTGTGTACTCCAAATTTCCGACAGTCCTATAGGCAATCCACTATGACTACTTTTACAAAGCATGACCCTTTGTATTCTTTTAAATCAGGATCTTAATCTGTGAATGGCCCTCCTGCTTTTCATTTCTTTGCATACACAGCTCTCCGCAACTCTTCACAGAAGATAATGTTTGTTTGTTTGTTTACTTCATTTGCATGTCCTTTAATCCCAAGGGCTCTGGGCAGCTAACAATCTCATCCTAAAATTTTAAATGACATCCACAAAAGAGAGAGAAAGAGAGAGAGAGAGAATAAGTCCAAAAATACATAAAATAACCAAATCAAAATGTTGCAATGAGTCTTGGTGGCAAACAAAGAAGATTGGGCAAGTCAAACAACATTGGGTCATACAGAAGCTGTGTTGGACTGAATTTAGAAGAGCCAACTTCCCTCTATCCTGTGGTTTAGGAGATGAAAGTAAAGTATGGAAAGGGGGAGAGAAATGAAGTACCTCCTGCACTGATATGACATCAGTGGAAATGTCAACAAGGAGGAACAAAAAGATATCAAGCTGTGTTTCCTGATAGCATTTTGAAATTCTGACACTTGAACAAAAAAAGTTTCAGAAACATGCAGAGAAAAGCAGACAAAAAGCAACCATAAAGTGAGTCACCTGGACTTTTACAACATGTCACTGGTCACTCAGACTTATATAAGCTGGTGTTCTTGGGCTTCAAGATACTGAAGACCAAAGACTTGCCTCTTTAAAGCTGGTTCGTAAACTCCACCATGAAGCACTTGGTGGTCTTGAGTGCTCTGATGCTGCTGCCATGCAACATTGCCTTTCCATTGTCCAATCCCCAATCTGCACTATCCAGCTCCAAGGACCTGAAATTTATAGAGGTATGTAACTACCCAAGTCTTATCTGTGATGCCATAGAAATGGAGAAGTGCTCTGCTGCTGACTTCTGAGAACCTTTTCATTTTGAGAATATGTCATGGGATAAATACAATGTATTAAGAATGCAGTGATGCATGATTCCTTTTACAGGTGCATTCAACATGTGCAAGAAATGATTGAGATGTAGCTTAAGTTAGCTGTAAATGCTATCTCAAGCTATATCTGTGTGCAGGAATTAACAGTGTGTGCAATGAACTAGAAAATGCTTCTTTCACATCTTGCCTATAAAGAGTTCTTATGAGATTTACTAAACTGATACATATGCTATGGAAACTCTAAACAGTGACATATACGTGCAAGTTATTTATAACACAGGGCCATGCTTTCGTTTTCTTCATGTGAAACTTAAATAAAGGTTTGATATTTGATTTCTGAAACTCAACTTCTTCCAAGACTCGATTCTATCCAAGTACATTTACATACTTTATATGCATATGTTTCATCACTTGTATGCACATCTTTGATCTGCATTTCTATTCTGTAGGTGCATGCTCAATGGTGCAGTGACAAATTATGAGGAATTAAAAAATGAGAGCCAAACCAATAAGTAACAATTCTTAAACTTGTCCCTAGGGCACGACTATTTATATTCTAAATTTCTATTATTTATACGTTTCTGAATATATTCATCATGGAGCACAAATTATTATTGTTATTAATAATAATAATAATAATCTCTAAGAAGGTTTTACAGGGCATGGCTGCCAGCTTGTCTGGAATTTTCTTCGAATAAGCTGTATTGTTATTGATAGTGTTTCCTTAATTCTGACTGCATAGGTTGTTCACTTTGTAAAATGCACTGCGCTTGAAAGAAAGATCTTTGATGAAGGGTTCCAGCTTGACTGTGGACATGTGTAACTGAGTCAATCATATATCGCAATATAACCTGTCTCACAGGACTGCTGTTGTCAGCATGAAGACTCTCTACCTTGAGTTCTTAGAGGAAAGGCAGAATATAGATAAGATTGTAAACTGGTAACAAACAAACAAACAAACTGTGTTCAAGCACTACGGTCTTAACATAAGGATGCAACCATGCCACGTAGTTTTCACGTCTGATTTCCTGGGAATCATTTGGTTTCTTCCTCAGGAAAGCTGTGCACCAGATGCATACATGCAATTCTGGGCCCAGGAATGTGTTTCAAGTCCCAGAACTGAATGGGGCTCACAAATTGTTCATACAAGAAGAAAATCACCCTCTAGTTATCCCTAGCTTTCTTCATTTCAGTTTTATGAAGTTAAGAGAAGAGGGATCCTTTTGTTACTGCACTGCACTGGAATCTGTAATTCTTGTCAGTCTACTAGGGGTAATCCAAATCTGCTTTCTGCCCATTCTATTCTTAATAGCCATCAACAACTTCTTCTTCTTCTTCTTCTTCTTCTTCTTCTTCTTCTTCTTCTTCTTCTTCTTCTTCTTCTTCTTCTTCTT